GGATGGAGAGAGTCCTGTTGTCTGGGCCAGCACTGTCCATGTGAAAGGCTCAGGTCAGTGCTGCCCGGTGCAGAGTCCCAGCCGTCTGCCCAGGATGCAGCGTGTCTCTTCCGTCTGGGCTGACCCTCAGCACCTCTCCCCTAACTCATTCCCTCAGCACCTGTGTGCCTCAAGTAACCACAGGCCGCAGAGGCCCTTCAGCCTCCCCCAGGCCAGAATTCAGGCCAGGGTTGGGCTCGGACCCACTCTCCCTCCTCTGGTAGGACGACCTGACCCCTTCTTAGTGAGCAAAGGGCAGACTCTGACTCCTCCCATGTTGCCTGTGGCACCGTCCTTTTCCCCTGTGTAAGGGACAACATCCAGGGAGCCTCTGGGTCCCTGCGTCAAGGCCGGGCATTCATTGCATGTGTGTGTATGTGCAAGTCTATGCATGTATGTGTATCTGTCCTTCGGATACCTCCAGGGCTGCAGGATCCTGTGATGTGTGGACGGGGCACTTGGCACATGACAGGGGTGGCTTGTGGCTGACCTGCCTCCTCTTTTCCTGCAGGCTAGGTGGGCTGCTCTTTGTAATAACAAAGGTTATGTGACAAGGTGGGGTGGGGAGCAGAGGCCCCCAGCTGATAAGAGCAGCTTGGGCTTGCCACCCTGAATATCCTACCTGCTTGCAGGCTGACGAGGCTAGCAGAAGCCAGTGCTGTCCTCATTCCCTGTCTTAAGTGTTTGTTGAGCATCAGCTGTGTTCCAGGCCTACTCACCAGTGAGTATCAGGAGGGCAGTAAGAGGCCATCGGTGTCTGAGGAGAACACACAGATGTTCAGCATTCTGGGGAAGTGCTTCTGGCCCCAAAGGGATAGAAATGAGGCTCCCTGAGGACATTTCTCCTCTGAGAGCTGGAGTAGGCTTTTTTCTTTTTTATGTTGCTGTTGTTCGTTCGCTTGCTTGCTTGTTTGTTCTGTTCCTGGGGCTTGAACTCTGGGTGTAGGCCTGTCCCTGAGCTTTTGTGCTCCAGGTTAGCACTCTGTCACTTGACCTTCAGCTCCCCTTCTGGCTTTTTTGGTAGTTTAGTGGAGATAAGAGTCTCACAGACTCTCCTGTGATTCTCAGATTCAGCCTCCTGAGTAGATAGGATTACAGACATGAGCCACTGGTGCCCAGTTGCCAGGAGCTTTTTGGTGTATCTGTGGAAAGCTGAAATGTGGATTTTTAGTCCTCACTGCTGTGCTCAAGATTGAGGGGGTTAGGTGATAAGCCAGTGCTGGGGAGTGTGTCAGCTTGCTGTTTGCAGCATGGAACAGGTACACATGTGTGCGTGCCAACATCGGGATACCTGGCCAGCCTGGAAGATAGCATCTTAAAGTCAGGCTGTACCGGGGGAGGCACAGTTTCTTGGCTTTGGGAGCAAGTAGCCAGGACGTGGAGCCACACATGCAGCTTAGCTGGAGGTGGTGCCTGCTCACTTAGCTTCTCCAGCTGTAAAGAGGACAGTGGCAGCGTTGTGTTGCTCACTCACAGCCTCATGGAATGGCTCCACCTCAAACCCAGGCCAGTTCCCCATAGACGATGCTGCCAGTTTGAAGTGAGTGCTCAGATGGCAGAAACAGGAATACTGGCATTCGTCGGATGTAGTACCACCCCTGGTGCCAGGTGCGCCTCTAGGACTTGGGATGCGTTAACGGTCGTATCCTCAGCAGCCACTGAAGAGGATGCTGTTGTTCTCATCCTGCAGGCACATGTGAGATACCGTCCAGATGTACAGTGCTGGTAATTGGTAGTGTGAGGACGCAGGCCTGGCCCCCTCCCTCTGGGCAGGCCCCCCCCACCCTCACGATGGCCCTCCATTCCCACAGCCTCCTTACGCTCACAGTCTAGGCTTCCCTCTCCCTCAGGAACACGAAGATTCCTCACAGGACCACACTGTCCAGTCAGAACCCCAGTCGTGGGCCTGAAGCGCTAATCCTATCTCCAGCCAGACCTTGCTTTCCTTCTGCCCAACACTTCCTGTGCCCCACATTGCCTGTCCTTCCCACACTGGGGTTGGGATGCCCCTGAGGCCTGTACTCCTAGCCCAATCCCAGGAACCCCAGCCACTACTCAGGGGGAGCTGGCCCCAGCGCGGGTGGGGCAGCACGGTAGCCACACAGTGCCCCTTGGCATGGACGTGCCTTCTCCACAGCCTCAGACACTTCTTCCCTGTGAACTCCCGGAGGAGTCTGTCAGACACAGTGGAGGTGTATATGCCAGTTCTTTCCATCTCCCTGGTCCATGGCTGGGCTCTGCCTGTGCTTGCCTCCAGGCTCAGGGAAGGCCTTAGTACATTTCCCAGCAGGGCAGCCATTCTTTCCCAAGCTCCTGGACTTCTCAGCTAGCTGGGCCTAGGAGACAAATGTCTCCTAGATGATTGTCTGTCTAGATGATTGGTTCAAATCTATAGGTTTCCCTTACCATACACTTGTATAGTCCTGTGTTTCTCTGGGCCTTGGTTTCCCCATCTGTGGGAAGGATGAAGAGGTAAAATATGCCTCCTCTCCTGCCTCCTGATAATGGCTCAAGGGTTCTGGAATAGTCTGGAATCCTGTTCCCCTACACCTTCCTTGTTTGCCCTTGCAGCCTTGCTCTGGGCTTCTCTTTTCTCTAAGCCGATCCAGCCCCAGTCCTGCTGGACCTTGTGCCCACACCTTGCTGGTTGGTACTGGTGGCAGATGCAGGGGTGGCCCAGCCTCAGGCATCATCTCTGCTTGTCCCGTCCTGGCTCACCCTGAGTCTTGAGTGAGACACTTAGGTGGCTACCTCTGTGCTCCAGAAAGGCTCTGGGGAAGCAGGGTCGTCCACCCCTGGTGACGCCTGAGCAGCAGCTGTGCTGTGATTGGGAGGGGCCTAAAGTGGGACCAGAGTCAGACCTGAGCCATCTCACTATGGGGATCCATGGCCTAGGGCCCTGCGGGTGTGGAGAGGCTGTGACTGCGGGCAGATAGATGGGTGTCCGTGGCCCCACCGTGGACCCCTGCTCCAAGACCAGGGATGGCGAGTCAGGTAACACAGGCCCCAGAGTGGATTCCCCATCTCAGAAGTACTGATGTACAGAAAGGGCCCCAAGGGGCCCAGTTCCCAATAAACAGACATTGGCCGTGTCTATGGCTCTGACGTGAGGCCAGCTACTCAGAACCCAGTCTGCAGTCTCAGCTAGCCTCCTCTGTGTCCCCCTCCTGGGACCACCCTGCTTGTCCTGACTCCACACCTAGTGCACTCCCGTTGTTCATCTGAATCTAGACGATCTCATTTCTTTCTCCCTTTCCTTTTTTTTTTTTGGTTGTTGTTGTTGTGCTGATCCTGGGACTTAGCTTTAGACCATGATCCTTAGATCTCAGCCTACTGAGTAGCTAGATTACAGGCGTGAGCCACTGGTGCCCTCTGGATACCTAAACACATATTCCTTGGGCTTCGCGCCCCCCCCCCCCGTCGGTCATGGGGTTTGAACTCTGGGCCTGGGTAATGTCCCTGAACTCTTCAGCTCAAGGCTAGCACTGTACCACTTGAGCCCCATCACTACTTCCAGCATTTTCTGTTTATGTGGTACTGAGGAATCGAACCCAGAGCTTCATGCACGCTAGACAAGCACTCACCACTGAGCTACCTTCCCAGCCCTTTCTTTCTCTTTTTAGCTGTGAAAAAGCTCATGTGTTTAGAGCATGCAGAACCTAGATCCACGAGAAAGCCAGGTAACATCATGGGTCAGGCCTGGAAGGCTACCTACCAGTATTCCACCCCTGCAAATTGTCACCCTTGGGGGATTTCCTTTGTCCTGCTCAGCCTTGAGCCAAGAGAAATTCTGCCAAAAGAAGATGCTGGGATTGAAGGACAAGTTGGAAGTGAAAGAAAAAAAACTATATTAGGCTCAGAGCACAGAGACTAGGCTCAGACCCCAGAATCACTTGCCTGGATGGACATTGACTGAGGCAGCAATCTGTAAAGGTCCCCGTAGGGCCGGACAGTGGCTGATTCAGATACCAGGCCACTGTCCCCTGTGTTGCCCCACCTGACTTTGGCTCCTTTCTAGGTAGCACTGCCTGTAGCCATCTACATTTTCTCCAGGTGATCCCTCTAACCAGATGGTGCTAGGCACAGTGCAGGATCTAGACAGAGGTTTGAAAGAATGAAGGCCTTGCACAGGGCCTCGCGGGGGAGGTATGTGAGTGTGCAGTTTACAGCAGTACCAGCTACGCCCAGGCCTCTGACACGCTGATGTCCTGCCCCAGCTGGACCCCAGCCTAGTGGTAGTGTGGGCAAATGTGTCACTGCTTCATGTGGCAGGCCTGCAGGGTGGTGGGTATGAGGGTGAAAGCCAAGAGCCAACAGCAGAGTCTGAGAACTGGGACATAGCCAGCGTGGTCTGGCAGCCTTTGGAGTAGGTGAGGGGTCAGTGAGGCTGTGGGATGTGACTCTGGAGTGCATATGACACATAGTAGCCAGTTGACATTGGGTGCATAGACAGGAGCAGGAGGGCATCATCACCCGCCACACGGTATGAGCTAGACAGAGAGACGGGTTTGGGTGGAGAGCTGGGATTCATTCCACTTTGCTTGGCTGCGGGGGCACTTTGCCCCTCTCCGGGGTGGTGGGTGGAGGCTGCCTTCGGAGCTCCTGTGCTGGGACGGGCAGATGAAGGCCTCGAGACATCTGATTGAGCATGGCACATTGTCTGGGTGGAGGCACATCACAGTCCAGAGAAAAAGCAAGGCGGAAGGCAACTTCAAGTGACGTGGCAGGTGGTGGAAGCCAGCCATGCGTGGGAGAGCAGAGGCTAAGGCCCTCGGGGCCAATGGGAATGAGATTGGAGACTGCATGTTGTCCAGGTGGAGATGCATTTAGGCCAGGTAAGAACTGGCAGGAGGAGCCTACCAGGTGTGAGGGACAGAGGCCCTGAATTTCCTCCTGAGCTCAGAAGTGTGCCCCCCTCAGGGTCCTCCCAAGTGATGGGCTTTCCCTATCTCTCCCTGCAGAAGGATATGGCCCTGAAGCCACACGAGCGGAAAGAGAGGTGGGAGCGTCGCCTCATCAAGAAACCCCGGGAGTTGGAAAGCTGCCCATCTGCAGAGCCCAGCGAGAACAGGCAGTCCCTGGAGATGGGCAGCCCAGGGCAGGACTTGGACCCTCAGTGTGATGAAGGGGCCAGGAAGGCTCCGCTACAGCCCTCCAAGCAGGTGAGTGCTTGTCCCTCCCCTTGGGCACTGTGACTGGGTCTTCCCCGAGGCCGCACAGCACCTGGACACTAACCCATCAGTGTCTGACCTGCCTGGCAACACCCTCCATCGTTGTCAGGCTCAGGGCAGACAAGCAGGGGCTAGGCTGGCTGTAGCGGTGCAAGAACTTGCCCCGGCCCCACTGGAGAGGCCTGCTGGGCCAGTGCTGCTGCCTCTCCCAGGATGTCCAGAGTAGGTGACAGTGCCACGTGGATAGGCTGGCCCCGTCTCCCGCTGCGTCTGTCAGGTTCCGCCGACTGTAGGTATCCAGGGTGCCCAGGCTGTCTGTAGGAACGTGGAGGCTGGGCACAGTTCTAGGCACAGTTCCGGGTCCCAGGCTGTGCATGTTGTGCTGTCTGCCAAACCTTGGCGGGGGAGAAGGGCTGTTGAGGCACAGGACTTGTGGTTAGTGGTCCAGGTGCGACCAGGAAAGAGGGCTGCTTGCTGGATGGGTTAGGGCTGAGACCAGAAAAAGACTGCTAGGGAAAGTAGAGGCTGGGCTAGCGCTGCCCTGAGCCCTGGGCCAGGCCCGGGCATGACTCATTGCTGCAGCTGTGTTCTTCCTGGAGACCTGGAGTCCACACCTTTTCTTCAGAGAGGGGCTCAGAGTGTTGCAGGCTCTACTTTGAGCTCTCTTGGGAACTGGGCTCTGCCAAGGGAGCAGCATGTCTCAGGGACCTGGGCTGGACGGGGGGTCTGCAGGCACACCTGCCCAGGTGGACACATGCTCTTTCTTCCATGCAGGTGTGCTCCCCAGAAGGGGGGCCGCTCCCAGCCAGCCCTTGGCACCAGAACAGTCCGGCCCAGCAACAGCAACAGCGCCAGCCCAGCCAGCCCAGCCAGCCCCAGGGGCCCCTCCCAGCCCCGTGTCAGCGCTGCCAGCCCCGTCGGGCATCCCCGGACCCTGGGGAACCCTGCCAGCCACAACAGCCACCCCTGGGTCAGCACAGCTGGCCCCAGCGCTCACTTCTAGGCCTGAAACAGCCTGGCCAGCCCCGGCGGTCTCTTCTGGGCCCCGGTCAGCACTGCCGGCCCCAGCGCCTGGTTCCAGCCCCAGATCTGCTCTGCCAGGACCAGCATTCACGCCTGGCACAGCCCTGCAGGCCCCTCTGGGCCCTCCCAGGCCCTAGGCTACGCAGCCAGCGCCTGCGGTCCCTGTCTGCTCCAGGGCACCGCTGCCGTCCACTGCGGTCCCTGCTGACCACCTGTCACCTCTGCCGCCCACTGCGGTCCCTGTTGCCTCCCTGTCACCCTTGCCGGCCCCAGATGGCCGAGTGGCATTGCTGCCGGCCTCTGCGGTCATCAGCTACACCATGTGTTTGTGGCCGGTCCTGTGGGGCTGCCTCCGTTCAGTGCTGCCGGCCCCTGCGGGCCCCAGTGGCCCAGTGCCGGCAGTGCCGGCCATCACAGTCACTCTTCATCATGCACCCATGCCACCAACCCGCCAGATCCTTTGTCGGCCAGTGCTGCTGCCCCCGGCAGGCACTTCTAGCCCATCGTCGGCATAGCCAGCCCCAGAGGTCCCTCCTTGGCCACCCCCACCACCCCCAGCCGTCACTGCTGAGCCTCAGACAGCCCCAGCAATCAGTTGAAGGCCCAGAGCAGACTATCCCTCCCAAACCTTCCCTGCTGGGCCCCAGACAGTCACACCAACAGAAACGGCCCCTCCTGAGCCCAGAGCAGCCCCAGACGCCCAAGCGGCCACTCATGGGCTCAGAGAATCCCTGCCAGCCCTTGCGCTGTCTTCTGGGCCCAGGCCAGCCCCGAAAACCACAGCCATTGCTTCCCATCCCTGATCGCCCTTCGCTTCTAGGACAGCCAGGCCCGTCCCGTCAGCCTCTCCTGAGACCCCTGTGCCAGCCAAGGCGGCAGTCCTTGCTAGACCTGGTGCCCACCCGTCAGTCCCAGCCTTCACTCCTGACTCTGGGCCATCCCTGTCGGCCCCTGAGGTCTCGGTGGACTCGATACGCTGCCCCAGGGGTGGTCCGCCATGCTCCATCTGTAAGCCCTGGAGCCTGATGCCCACAGGTACTTCCCTGGATGAATTTTGCAGGCCACCTTGGGTGAACCTTGTTCATGGGGTCCTTAGGGCCAGCGTCCCTAGCCCTGCAGGCTAGAGATGCTTTGCTGGACTGACCTGAGGCAAGGACCCCAGCTGTGCCAATCAGGAGAGAGGAGTTGTACCCAGAATCTTACCACCTCCACCGCCACCACATGTCAGGGCCTCTTGGTGTCACCGTTTCCCCGTGTGTGTTGCTTTGTGATATACACCCTCTGGGAAAGGACACACAGCCACCCTCAGGGCTGGAAGCCCATTGAGCCCCTCAGCAACTCTCTGTGCCTCTAAACTGCTAACACTGTCTCTGCATCTCTGAGTCTTCATACGTGTGTAGGTATGCAGGTATGTGTGTGTGTCTGTGTGGTGTGCCAGGGCGTGTTGACATGAGTGATGGGCGAGTCAGCCCAGGACTCACTTGTCTGGGCCCACTCTTTCTGGCCCCTGCACCCTCTGCCTCCACGTAGAATAGCCTAGGTGAACTGGCCAACAGGTGAGCTCTGAGGACCAGGTTTCAGGCCACGGCGCTCTTCTGGCACCCGCCTGAGGAGGGTTCTCCAATGCAAGATGGGTGGGACCAGGTCTGCCTCTTGGGGGGCTGCCTTGGCCCAGTGGGGGCAACAGTAGAGCAGCTGCCGGAATCTTCAGGGCAAGTTCCACTCTCTCCAGGCCTCGTCCTTGGCTGTGTTTGGTTCTGTTCTTGGCTGCCCTCATTCAGACTGGCCTTACCTGTAAACGTTGCTCCTCAAAAGGCTGTCTTATACCTGCCTGTTCACAGCCTGCCATCTGTAGTGAGGGTTACCTAATCCTGCCCAGAGCCCTCCCCTGCCCCAGAGCTCCACTCAGGTCTCCTGGAGTCTGCAAGGGTGTGCTCAAGAGGAACTGATGTCCAGAGGACGGGGGGGCCTTCCTGAGACTCCCCAGGCCCTGCGGGAGCCCACCACGTGCTATTCACAGGCAGAAGACTAGGGATCCCCGGTTCTGTGCCCATGCACTGCTAACGCTCAGCTTTTCCCTTCCCTACTTGTGAGGACCCAGGCCCTGCAGCCTGGCCCCATCCCCCAGCCATGGCAGCTCTGAGCATTGCCCACCCTGGCTAGGTCCCCTTTCTGGTGCTCACCTAAGGCCTCCATCCCATGAATTCAGGGCTTGTTTTTTTTGATTAAAGAGAATAAAAAGTGCCATGTGATTATTTTTAATAGTAGTGTTTGTAATTTAAAAAGAAAAAACTGTGTCCTCTAACGTCTAGATTTGGCTCCTGGCTCATTACTTCTCAGCAGAGGATGCTCCAGGGAGCCTGTCCTGGGCCCCTCTTGGCCTGGCTAGCGAGGGCCGTCCACTCAGTGGTGCTCTTACTTCAGCCTTGGGGGGGCACCTGTGAAGGTGGAACCCAGGCTCCCTTGGAGCCTGTCCCACAGGTGGCCAGTTTTGTGCTGTTTAGCAGCGTCCACTCAACGGCGCTGTGTTCCCTTTGGGTGTGCATGGGGGGGCCTAGGATTTGAACCATGGCCCCGGCAGAACCTGACTTGTCTGTCCATCTGGGGGTGGGCTGGGGAGAGTTTCTCTGGCGGCTGCCACTGACACAGTTGGCTAGCTCTGTTGTACCAAGAGTAGTGAAGCATGCACCGTGCCTGCCCCTCCCCAAAGACAGGGCTGGTGTAGCCTGTATGTGTGGGCCTGAATGAGTCAAGAGGACAAAGGGCAGAATGGCCACAGTCCTGTGCATTTGGGGCTGGCAGTGTCCCCTGGTTGCGACAGTGGACAGCTCTTCAGTGAGACAGGTGGAAGCCTCTGAAGCCAGCTGGGTCCCTGTGACCTGAGCAGAGTAAGCCATGCAGGTGCCAATTGAACCGAGAGCAACTTAAGAAGCTAGACCTTGATCACAGTGCTCATAGCTTCCCACTGCAAGGCTGGACCATGTGAGCCATATTCTTGAGGAAATATTTCCATGTGACAAACAGTGACCAAAGCAACCTCCTGCCCTTGGGGTGGGAGTCGGGAGTAAACAGAACTAACGTGGGGCAGGTTGTGGCTGGGCATGATGGCACATGCTTCTGGTCCCTTACACTCAGGAAGCTGAGGTAGGAGGATTGTGGTTTATGATCGCAGGCAAAGTTAGTGTGAGACCCCAAAAAACACTAAAAAAAACAAAAGGCTTGGCTAGGCACTGATGGCCCAAGCCTGTAATCCTAGCTCCTCAGGAAGCTGAGCCTGAGGATTGCAGTTCAGAGCCAGCCCAGGCAGGAAAGTCCATGAGGCTTTTTATCTCCAACTAACCACCAGAAAACTGAAAGTGGCACTGTGACTCAAAGTGGTAGAGCACTAGATTCAAGTGAAAGAGCTCAGGCACAAGGCCCAGGCCCTGGGTTCAAGCCCCATGACAAACAACAACAAAAGCCCAAAGGGGTAGCTTAAGTGGTGCCTGGCAAGCCCAGGCCCTGACTTCAAGCCCCAGTACCACCAAAAGCAGCAGCAAGGAGGGTTGTGGGGCCAGTGGTTACAGGGTGACCCACCTCACCTAGGGCTCAGCACCTGAAGTCTAGGCAAAGTTGGATGCCTGTGGGGGACAGGTGTGAGAGTCAGCACTGTGCTAAGCATGATGACCAGAACAGACATGGAAAGCACCATGGCTAGGCCTTAGGGTGGCTAGGCCTGGGGGCATACCAGGCAGGGGGTTCCCAGCAGAATGCTGCGTGAGACCTCAGGGAGGGAGCAATCAGGGCAAGGCCTAGGGCCCTGCACTCAGTCTGGTGAGGAGCCAGGCCAGCCAGGACCTGCACTCAGCTTTGTGGCATCTGTGCCAGGGTTTAGAGAATACATGAGAAGTTGGGGCTCAGGCCTAGGAAGAGCAGGGTGGTGAGGCGGGGCAGCAGAACACTTTGGGATGGTCACAGCTCAGCTCCTTCCAACATCATGCTGCTTGGCCTAAGACTGGGGAGCGTGGGCAAGTCTGTAGGCGGCACTTGAGGGTACAGCCCCTGGAAGGCTCCTGGTGGGTGACCATTGCCTATAGCAGGCCCAACAGTCTCAGAGGTATGCGTGGAATGGCTGGGAGGCCAGAGCACGCGTGTCCGTGCACGTGGAACGTGTGTGCAGCATGCTGTGTTGCTTCTCTTGAGGGGCTGTGAGGTCCCAGGGGCCATGTATACCTACGCAAGTGCACAGAGCAGGGGGGCAGATGCTAGAGGAATGGCGTGGACAACAAATGGTGTTGCCCATAGGTTTTATGGGCATGTATATGACGGTATGTGTGTGCTTCGTGTGACTGGGTCTGTGACTGGGATTACTTCTAGGATACAAGATTCAGCTTCGCAGAATTGTACAGGGATAGGGCCTTCCGACGAACAGTCGTCTAAGGAAGAGCATCAGTCCACAGCTCATCCCACCTGCAGGGTTCCATTATTGAGTCGGAGTGGGGACCTGCCTCCATGTCCCATTGGGGGGAGGGGTCCCCTGTCCGTACTGTGAAGCAGTGTCCTGCGCATCCTTCCTCCCCTGTGTCCTTGGGCAGCCAGCAGCCCTGCAGCTGTACTCAGCAGCTTTGTACCAGATCTTTGGTGCATGTAGTGACTTTGGTCCAACCTTTCTTACCCCCCCCCCCAGTCCTGGGGCTTGACCTCTGCGCCTGGGCACTGTCCCTGAGCTTTTTTGATCAAGACTAGCACTCTACTACTTGAGCCACTGTGCCAATTCTAGCCTTTTCTGTGTATGTGGTACTGAGGAATCGAACCCAAGGCTTCATGCAGGCCAGGCAAGCACTCTACCACTAAGCCACATTCCCAGCCCTGGGTCCAGCCGTGCGGGTAGTAGGCAGGAAGACCTCGAACATGACTGGCATTGCCAGGGTTAGCACTGGGGTAAGAGGAGAGAAAGCCTGGTGGGGTCCGGGCAGGGACAAGAGGAGTACTGGCTCCCGAGGTGGCTCAGGTTCAGCTGCACTCTGGCCTCTACCCTGAACGCAGACCGGAATCTCTTCTCCCTGGGGCCCTGTCTGCGCCTGAACGGCCCTGGTTCTGTGTGGGCCTCGGCAGTCTGCCAGCCTCATGAGGAAAGGAGTGTTGAACTCCTGGAATCCTGAAGCCCTTGGGGGTGGGGCTGGGGGACTCTAGCCTGACCTCGGAAATTGGCAGACATGGGGAGTTCTGGCGGTCCCCAGCCAACCAGACTGGTTCCTGGATAGGTTTCAGGGCTGGCACGTGCTCGTGTCAAAATGACTGGACTCTGACCGCAGACTTGGCCGAGCTCTACAGTGGCTCTAGGGAGGTGGGAGGCGGCACCGTCGTGCTCCTCCACATGGCCCGTAGTGTCCCTCTGGCCGGAACCTGCGCGCTCAGCGTGTTTGTAAGGAGACCAAGCACACGAGAGCGCTCAGCCTCAGCAGCTGGTGACAGAGGCAGCTTGCTGTGTAAGTGAATGTCTGGGATGGCACATTCACACTGGGGCCTGGTATTCCTCATTTCCCTCACTTTTTTTTTTTTTTTGGTCGGTCATGGGGCTTGAACTCTGGGCTTGGGCGATGTCCCTCAGCTCTTTAGCTCAAGGCAAGCGCTCTACCGCTTGAGCCACAGTGCCACTTCCCGTTTTCAAGTGGTTTATTGGAGATAAGAATCTCACAGACTTTCCTGCCCGGGCTGGCTTTGAACTGCGATCCTCAGATCTCAGCCTCCTGAGTAGCTAGGATGACAGGCGTGAGCCACTGGTGCCTGGCTCATTTCCCTCATTTTTGTGCAGGTGTGAAGTCATTTTCAGGTTAAAAGGTGCACACGCAGTGCTCTGGGTCTAGCCCTGCCTGGCTGCTTCCCCTCCCCAGACCTGTTTCCTGTCTATCAAGTGGAATTGAAGGGGCTGGGAAGGTGGCTCAGTGGTAGAATGCTTGCCTCCCAGGCATGAGGCCCTGGGCTCAATTCCTCAGCACCACGTAAACAGAAAAAGCCAGAAGTGGCACAGTGGCTCAAGTGGTAGAGCACTAGCCTTGAGCTGAAAGAGCTGAGGGACAGCGCCCAGGCCCAGAGTTCAGGCCCCACGACCAAAAAAACCAAAAAAGGTAGAATTGAAAATAGGTTCTTGTCAGGGCAAGCGGTTACCCATGCAAAACACTGAGGCCAGAGAATGCCATTCAGCTGGCCTCACGTGCTTGTGCCCAGAGCACTGTGTCAGCTGATTTACAGACAGCAGGTTGAGGTACCGAGGAGCCGCCGTGAGGGAGCTGTAGTGCCAACTGAAGGAAACACTGGGCACGGAGTCTCGGCAGTGTCCCTATGACCGCTTCCTAGGGAGCTGACTAGGGAGGAGCTGCCCAAATTGGGCAGCCTTGGCAGGAGGAGAGCCAGGCTGTCGTGGGGACAGGAGTCCTCATGGTCTACAGGATATCTTTTAAGTTAGGGGCTTGAGAAAATGAGAACAGCTTGAATAGCACCTTGAGTACTTCATCGGAGGCACTTCTCTCCCGTCCCATCCCATGGAGCCAGCCAGCCAGTGAGCTTCCCTGCTCCGTAGCGCTCTGCCCCTCTTGCTTTCCTTCCATCTGACTCCAGGTCCACGGCTTGGAGATGGGGGCAACTGGCAGATTAGGCCCTAGAACCTGCTGGGTCCCAGTGGCTGAGGGAGGCCTGGGGATGGAGTAGGATCAGGTCAGGGACAGTGTTGTGTGTGCCAGGAGCCCTGCTACAGATAGGTAAGGGCAGGTTTGCCTGAGGCTGTCTTTCCCTGTCCCCAGACAAAGGTTGCCATGTCCAGAGGTGGTGACCAGAACAGCGACGAAGACAGTGTCCTCGAAGCCACCAGCTCCCAGCGGAGCAGCTCCCGAGACCAGCTCAGCGACGTGAGTACCCAGTGCACCCCAGTGTTACGGGTGGAGTCCTGCTGAGGATCTCACTCCGGGCCCTGACGTTGCATGGAGGGAGCTCCTGGGCACTGGCCATTTTGTGGTTTCGTACTGATGAGGGCTTTCCCGCAGAAGTTACCCATAGGGACGCCAGTCTGGGACTGACGTGGGCCGCAGCAGGGTGGAGGTCTGGCCTTCTTGCTGTGGGTGCATAGGTTGGAGGTATAAGGCAGAGACGTTCCTGCAGTGATCTCAGTTGGAGACACACCTTCAGGGTCACTGAGAGCCTGGGACGGCCAGGCTTGGGATGGCGCCCGACGAGCACAGCCAGGATTGCTAGGTTCTGACTCCAGACTTTGCACAGACCCCTCCAGGGCTGGGGTGGAGGCAGGGAGCTCTCCAACCCAGAAGGTAACCACGCTGACACCCATACCCTGCTCCTGAAGTGGCCATAGCATAGTGAGTTTTACAGGACAAGATTGAATGAGACCAGTCTCATTATCATCTACATGAGGGTCTGGGGGTGCAGCCTGCAGCCCTGAGGGGGGCATAATTGTCAGGCTCTGATCTTGTTGCCATAAGATGGGAAAAGAGGCTGGTAATTGTCTAGGGCTGTGGGCTGCCCTAGTTAGCATGCCTTTAATTGCTGCCCAGAATGAGTGGAGACACATTCTGAGCACAGCCAGCTTCAGGCTGACAACTCACCAGTCACAGTCCCACCCCCACCTCATTAGCCAAGGCCTGGGCCAGCGTGCCAGGGGTTCTGGTAGACTCTGTCTGACAGCCCCCCCCCCCCCGTTGGCCCGGCCGTGGCAGCCACACGGTGGGATGGGCGGAGGTCCCCTGTTCTTCAGGGGTGGGGAGGAGGTGGCAGCTGAGCACGCCAGCCCTGCCTCCCTCTGCTGACCCTCCTCCAGCCTCTGCATCCCGTCCCCTGACATGCCTGCTGACATCACCCCTGCCCCGCCCAGGCACCAACCAGCTGCATGCCCCTCTACAGCTCAGCCCTTTGCCCATGCCCTGCTGGCCACAGCCTCTTCCACATGGCTGCATGTGTGGCTTTGTCCCAGTGGAGCTTAAATGGCCACTCAGGCCATGCTGCCAGGCCCTCACCTGGACCGCTCATGACCACCAGCTGTCTTTCAGCCTCCTGTTGTGACCTTCCTTCAGAGTCTTGGTCCACTGCAACTCCAAGAAGCCTTTCTGTGGGCTTAGGCAGGGAAGGGGCACTGAAGGAGAGCTCAAGTTCTCACCTTACGCTGCACATGTGGGTGGGAGGGGGGGCCTCCCTTCCAAGGTCTTTTTGCTTCATGTTGGGGTGATGGTTAGTGTCCTTGGCCCCTGGAGGGGCTGAGGATCATCCACAAGTGTCTCTACAGGATGGTGCCCCCTCCTAAGCCTCCTGGAAGCCAGGAACAGCTACAGGGGCTGTATTGCTTTCAGAAAGGTCCCGAGGTGGGGCTGGGAAGGTGGCTCAGTGGTAGAGCGCTTGCCTTGCATGCCTGAGGCCCTGGGTTCCATTCCTCAGCACCACATAAGCACAAAGAAAAAAGCCGGAAGTGGCGCCGTGGCTCAAGTGGTAGAGCGCTAGCCTTGAGCTGAAGAGCTGAGGGACAGCACCCAGGCCCAGAGTTCAGGCCGCACGACCGGATCCAAAATGAAAGGTCCCGAGGTATCCCTGGTACGACAGCCAGCCTTGCCTGGGGTCCTCCCTCAGCAGGGTCTGGTAGTCTTGCCCCAAGTCTGCAGGCCTGTCTCAGGTTGCACTGCTGGACGCTTGGGCTGGACATCAGCTGGACGGCAGGCTGTCACTAACTGTCTCCTTCTTCCTCCTGCAGAGCTCAGCACAGGCCGTTTCCGGGAGAGGCTACTCTGTAAGTCTCCCAGCTCCTCCTTCCTGCTGCCCCCGTCCCAGCCACGGGACCGCCCAGCGCACCTACTTAGCAGCTCTCCACCGGGTGCTCCACCACCCTGGGACTTGTCCTTCCAGAGCCTGGATGGTTCATACCCAACCGCTGTGGGGCCAGTGGCGGGTAGACATGTCTGGCAAAAACTGGCAGAGAGCATACTGCCCAGGAACACTCTGAGGGCAGGGCTCCCCTCACAGGTGCCAGGAGCTGAGGAGCCAGGCTACCTGTGGGTGGCAAGTACTGGCCTCGGGTTCCACGGGGACCTGGAAGGTGCTCAGTGTCGAAGATGCCATCTGGGATGACATCCAGGGAGTGGCCCCACTTGTGGGAGATGGGTTGGAGATGGAGAGCCAGGTGCATGCTTCCTAAATCTGCCTCGCAGGGGCTTAGTGTCCCTATATCTGCACGCACACCCAGGCCCGCAAGGGGCCTGACACCCTGCTCATTTGCCGTGTGGACCGCCTCAGAAATGGGAGCTGGAAGCCGGGCGCCCGTGGATCACGCCTGTCATCCTAGCTACTCAGGAGGCTGAGAGCTGAGGATCGCAGTTCAAAGCCAGCCTGGGCAGGAAAGTCTGTGAGACTCTTATCTCCAATAAACCACCAGAAAACCAGAAGTGGCGCTGTGGCTCAAGTGGTGGAGCGCTCGCCTTGAGCTGAAGGGCTGAGGGACAGCGCCCAGGCCCAGAGTTCAGGCCTTACAACCACCACCACAAAGAAATGAGAGCTGGGCTTGTCTGTTATGCTTGAGATGGCAGTGGCTCCTGGCACTGGTACTCATGGGCCTTCAGGAGTGGCCCCCATGCCTCCTTATCACTTAAAGTGTCAGGAGGAACATTAATGACATCATAAAACCCAGAGCTCCGTAGATTTACAGCGTTTGGCTCTTTGCAGGCCAGGGCTTGGACCTGCCCGCCTCATCTCTGCAGCCTCTGGTTTACTGCCAGCTATGGGGCCTGCCTGGCCACTCTAAATCACACTGCTTTTATGGAGTATATAATTAACCCATTAATTACCCAGTGGGACAGCCCCTACAGCTTCACCCTGGGGCTCCTGCTGGGTACTATATAGGGGACCAGGGGTGAGCCAGAGTGGGGACCCTGGCTTACAAGCTTAGTGAACTCTACAGAGGCACCTTGCCTAAACCAAGAGTAGAGCTTCATCTGGTCCCTCCCTCCCATATCCTATGCCCTGCTCCCTAGTCTTGCACCCCTGTTTTCTTCCTAGGATGCATAGTACTTGGGCTCCTCTTAGACCCCAGCTGCGATGGGCCTGGGCATGACCTAGGGTGTGTGAACACCTCTGGGCAGTGGTCCCTGGAGGTGGCTGTCCATGGGGACCTACCTCTGTCTGTACGTTGGGATGGCAGCCCCCTTGAGGGTGGTTGGGAATGCGCTGGCTGTGATGGGCTTCCCCCTTCGCAGTATCTACCGGGCACAGGTCTTATGAGCAGTGCTATGGTCCAAGCTGTATCAGATACTGGGCTGAACAGTTCAGACCCAGGCTGCTGTGTGGTAGCCTGACGCTGGCCCTCACCAGGACAGGCCAAGCTGGCAGGAACCACCTGCAGGCGGCAGGGTCAGCCATCTGCATTGAGGAGGCTCTTGGGAGAGGCGGTGGGATCAGAGCCCCATCTCTGTACCCTAGTTTCCTAGGGCCCTGGGACTTCCTTGAGCAGGAAGAGTGTGTGTGTACATGACAGTGGCATGTCAGCTGACCCAAGCTAAATGAGGGCCAGCCTTGAGCCCTTGGAAAGGTGCTCAGTCACCGGGGGGTACATCCACGTTCTTCGGGAACTTAAGTGGTTCCCACCCCTCCCAGTCCCCCAGGATAATGGGTCTTCCAGCCCTGAGCTGCTATTACATCAGTCTGTCTTAAGTCTCCATTTGTCATTCAGGTTGTCTCCCCCAAGCCCTGCTTTCCCTATGTTTTGAGCTAGCCAGCTGCTTACATTTTAACCCTGTGGCTGCTGTGCAGAAGTGACAGATGGTGGCAAGAAGGGAACTCCTGTCTGATCTATGGCTACGAGTTCCATCTGAGCCGGGTGCCCTGAGGTGCGCACAGTGCAGGTGTGTACGTCAGCTCCTACATACATGACGGGCTTCCAGGGTCCTGCTGGGAGCCAGGGCAACCGCAACCCTGGCCCGTCACCAGTGATCCACGCTGGCCCTGCGGCCCTGACACCTGCAGGCTGTCCCTGAAGACATCTCTTGTCCTCTTGGCCTGTGGGCTCAGATGCAAGCCAAGCTCCAAGCGGACAGCAGGGAACAGTGTCCAGCCCTCCCTGATGCAAGTCCCAGGTGGTGCCGGAGGGCCCAGGATCAACCAGAATGATCTGGGCCTAGATAATTCTGGACAGAACCAGCTGGTCTGAGTTCAGGGCAAGTTGTAATTCAGCCTCTTGGTTAAGACTTCTTGGAGGGCCCTCAGGCCTGGAGTGCATGGGCGCTGACGGTGTGTATAGTTACGCGTGTGTGTATGCCTGTGTGTGCATGGTGGAGGGGCACCCATCCCTCTGTGGAGTTGGTATGCGTCTGGGTATGACTCTGTGCCTGTTTGGAAGTGTCACATAACAGCTCCCTTTGGGTTCTATTTGTGAGACTTTCTCCGTGTGTGTGTGTGTGTGTGTGTGTGTGTCCGTCCGTGTCCATCCATGTCTCTATGTCCTGTGGGCCATGGGCCATGTATTCCTGCATGTCTGTGTTTATGCACACACGTGTGCCTCTCTGGCTTCTCAGGGCTCCGTGTGTGTGTGTACTTGTGGCCACATGACGCTGTATATGGGTATGCTCGTGTGCACCCCTTGTAGGCTCAGGCCCAAAAGTACCTCACAGCGCACAGCCCCCATCTTGCCCTTCCTTCAGTTCCATCACATGGAATTCAGGCTGGGAGGTAGGGCCAGGCCGCTGCAGGCTTCCTGTAGTAGTGTGACTGGGGGCAAAGACATACAGAGTATGAGGAGACAGGGAGGCGGGCGGGGGAGCCGAGAGACGGATGCGGTGGCGGGGAGCCTTTCCGGGTCTGCAGCGGGATGGGCCCCTGCCACACCTGCCAGAGAAGCACCTCTCACGCCAGGTGCAGTTAGCTGCGATAGGTTTGAAGAAGTTAGGAAGAGCCCGCTTACCTCCTAGCGCGCCCCGGCTGCTCTGCTGTGCCCCGCACCCCGTGTCAGCGTGGAGACACCCTTGTCGCTCGGGCGGTGCGGGGTAGGGGCTCTGCAGTCCCCACACCACAGGCCTCAGAACGTTAGTGGCTCCACGTAGTGCGGGAAGTTCAGGGGTTCATGGCTGCCCCTGGCACCTGCCCCCTGGAGCCTACCGCTTCGCTGGTACCGTCAGTGCTGCTTTCCTCCTATATCCTGTGTACTGCGCTGGTGAGGTCCTTTTCCCTGCCTCTCTACGCAGCCTCTCTTCACTGCCTGAGGAACTCACTTTGTGAAGGCTGAGCCTACAGCCCCCTGAGTGCCTCCAGATGAGGGATTGTCCCGTAGCAAAACCACAGCCTTGAGCGGGGAAGGTGGCTCAGTGGTAGAGTGCTTGCCTAGCTAGCATGCATGAAGTCCCGGGTTCGATTCTTCAGTACCACATATACAGAAGAAGCTGGACGTGGCACTGTGGTCAAGTGGTAGGAGCTAGCCTTGGCGGGCGGGGAGAGGGGGTGGGGAGAAGCGCCTCAGGAACAGCGCCCAGGCCCTGAGTTCAAGCCCCAGGACTGGCAAAAACAAACCACAGCCTGTGCACATCCAAGGTATGGGGAGCTGGCTGAGAGGTTTGAAGCCTGTGAGATGGTCTAAAACCCTGAGTGGGCAGCCACGCAGCTCCCTGTGAAGTACCCCTTGGGCTGAAGGAGGGGCAGATTCCATGTGCTCCTCACCTCCCCAGGCCTGTCAGGGTGAGGCTGGTGGGGAAGATGGGTGGGCGCCAAGGGGAAGGCTGCCTCTGTAGAAAGGGGCGGCAGGCCTGCGGGCCCCAGGCAGGCCCTTGCCAGCCCTGAATCTACCCTGTGTGGTTGAGCCCCAAGGCTTGGAGGGGTGGGCCGCTGGATGAAGGTGTGGCACAGCTACCCAGTGTAGAGGACAGACCTGCCAGAGCTCGGTCCCTAACTCTTCACTCTTCCATCCCATGAGCAGAGCTCTGGGTGAGACCCATCAGTCCTTAACTCCACCTTGACACCCCTTCTGTCCGCATCCCATGGCCTGTCCCTCCTCTGAGGAAAGCCTCCACCCTTCCCACTCGTCCCAAGTTGTCTCTCCAGCCTAGTTCTGGGTCAGGGAAGGGAGGAGAGGGGCTTGGAGTGACCACACGCCCCCTCTGCTGTCTGGAGCTTTCAGACTGAGGGTGTACCTGGCCTGCCCTGCAGATAGCTGGGCTCACGGCTCCCTGACCTCCTGCCTTCCATCAGAACCAGTTGTAGCCTGAAGTGCACATTTCAGAATGCTAGAGCACAGCTGAGCCTCTTTGGGCCAGGACTCCTGTGGGACGGCTGCCCTTTCCCATCCCACCCTGTGGAACTGCATTTCCCTAGCCAGTACTGAGAACACGGAAGAGCAAGATCCAGGACATGCCTGGATCTGTGAGCAGCTGGGTTCCAAGCCTAGCTCTGTCCCTTTCTGCCAGGCCTGGGGCTCCACTCTGACCCCCAAGCCTTGACTTGCCCATCTGCATGCATCCTGGGAAAGCGCCTGCTTCCCCAGCCACAGCTCCACTTACTGGTGGCTGACAGTAGAGTCGGGCAAAGGGGCAGAGACAAGGCCTCCCTGTGTTGCAGAGAGGGCAGAGCCACATTTCCTGATAGTCTTGCTTCTGCCTCCCAATTTGTTCCTGAGCTTGGGGCACACCTCAGAGAGGTGTGGTGCGCACTTAGGCAACTGAGATGTCAAGTAGGACAGCCTGGCTGGGGAGGGACTCTAGAGGCCCTGCTGCTACGGAGCCCTGGCCAGAAGCGTGGGGGCGCTTCCAATCTCCG